GGCAAAACGTATCAAAATAAGCTTCAAAGTGATTTGATTTATATTAAGATTAGTGCTGCATATGATGCATGAATTGTACTAATCTCAATACAAATTTGACGGCCTTAGAACTCCAACCTAAAACTTAAGCCAAATTGATAGAGAACGCTCCAATTAGATATTGAATTGTGGAAGAGAAACGGTTTCTTTCAAGTTTGGCACAAAAACATTGACGAAGAGCAATAATTTATAGCACTTTATGAAAAAAAAAAAACTAATGATAAGGATTGGCACTTTTCTTTATTGCTTTTTTGAGAGAAAAAACCAATTTATAACGATAAAGTCTGCCTAATCTTATGCATAAATTCATGATATTAACATCTTAATATTGTCATTATGTTCATGATTGGCCAGCAAGAAAGTGACTGATGAACTTTAAAAACTCTTAATAAATATAATTTGTAGAAGTAACAAATCTGTAAAAGCACATAAAGGGGCTGTTTGGTAGCATGATTAAGGCCCGCTTTGAGCGAAACCAAATCTCACGGCAAATGAAAGCCGCCGTAGATGAAAAATTCCGCCTTTTCGTGCTAAATCCTGGATTAACGAAATCCATTGGCTTGAGAAGAAGAGCCCGCTCTTAAATCTGCTCTATAACCAAACAGTCACACAGGATTTAATATGATTTATCATGAATGTTACCAAATAGTTTTCAGGATTTAGGCCCCTCAAAATTTCAAAAATCCGGATCTAACGGATTTACGAAATCCTACTTAAATCAAATCTTGGATGCTACCAAACAGCCCCAAAATCAGAAAGCAAAAAAGCATCCAACAAAAGAGATTATAGATAAGCTCTTATAACTCTTCCAATGAATGAATAACCCTCACAAAAATCACATTCAGATTATTACGCGAGTTGCAGATAGATAAAATTAGTTCAAAAAAATATAAATATGGAGAAAATTTGATGAGCATTCACAGCAAATAATAAACTTAAATGATATAAAATGCAGGAAAGGCTTTCATCATAAGTAGTAACCTGTAAAGGTGAATCCTCTTATATATTTAAACCCAAGTTCATCAAAAGCAAACATGCCATAGAATTCGTATATAGTTATCTATCTAATTTCTAAATTTAATATTTTGCTTATATAACACTTATATATTTAAATAATATAAAAAATATCGTTGATATTAATTTATGTGAAGTAAAATAAACCACTTGATGGATGAAACTAAATATAAAGATTTAGATTCTGAGTTTGTAAATATATTGAAATTTTGTGGTATGTATGTAAAACGGAGATCTATAAAGTTTAAACACATCAAATATGACGGGCAATTAAGGCTTCATTTGAGACGGCTTTCTTATTACTTTTCATAGCAATTTTTTAGAACAAAAACTTTCCTTTTAATTGCAATATAAATATTCAATTACAAACTTTTTTTTTTGTTTTGAATTTATTGATAATTTCTTCATATTTAATCGATCATTGCATCTCATTTTTTATTCAATATGATTTACTACTAATAAAGTGAGTTTTTGTATTTTAATATTCTTTGACCTATGAATTCTAACTCTTTTGTGAGATCTATATTTATTACATCATCATAGAGGAATTTGAAATATAACCCTCAAACATCTTTCATCAATTGGGTGTCAGAGCTTTTAAGCATTGTCATTATATCACTCTAAAGTGGAACTTAGTTACAGGATAATTTAACAGATCGTGAAAGTGATCAAATTTTAACCAATTCACATAATCAATTGGTTGAATTATTTAATAAACAAATCATTGTATGTGAAATTAATTTGATTAAAGCATAAATTGAAAATTTTGAAAATAAAAAAAGTTCATGCACATGAACTTAAAGTGAATTTCAATTACAATAATGAAACAATTCAAAGGAATGTTAATCATGGTAGGAGAGAGGAAAAATAATAATGATAAATATTAGAAGTGTTTAACGATGAGGTTGATGAAAATCATAAGCGTTAACATTTTGAGGAAGATAATGATATAACCAAAAGGGTTTAAATTGAAGTGTCTACTTTTAATAATAAAATTCATCATAAAGATTTTGTAAGTGATAAATTTGGATAATTTTTTTTAATAACAAACTATACTTGATGAGCAATAAGTGGCATTTGCAAAACTCAAATTGATTGGGCAAGCTAAAATGTATGAATGAGTATGGGCAAGCTAAAAATGTTTGTCCGTATAGCTATGCAGCATGGCGTTGTATGTTGGAGTGTTGTGATGCTATAGCGCTTCAGGCTTAAGCTAGAGATAGATAATAGAGCGTTTTGGCAATGTTTAAAATTGCGTAATCGGGTATTGAGGCGTTTTTCGTTCATAAGGCAAGGCCTAAGCCTCAAGGCGTTTTGAGGCGTAAGCCTCAAAATCAAAAGATTGCGTAAACATAAAATGATAAATTTTATATATACTAATGAATAAATAATATATAAAACATAAAAATGCACAAGATATGAATTGAAATCAAAATATTCCAATAATAAGACAACATGAAATATAATTCAACTCAAACTCCATCTTTCCCAAATCACAGTATTCTTTTCATTAACATATAATTCCAAAAATAAATAGTAATGACATATCACATAAAAACTCATAAGTTATCAGCACTATCATCACTAAGGGGGTCTTCATTTGAATCATTATTATGATGAACTGCTCTCTCCCCTTACTCTCCTATAGAGTCCAATGTTTCCCAATCAAGTCCTTCCTCAATATCAGTTATCTTCCTCTTCCCTAAATATTTTTGAACAATATTAAAATGAATAATAGTGTAATACATTAATAAAAGTCTAAGAAAACTATATTATTTATATACCTTTTTTGATTTTTTATTGAGTTGTGGTGGATGTAGATGCTTTAAGGCCATCAAAGAAATCAACATTTAAATCTTCATCTTGTAATTCAGACGGCATCACTTCAACTTCATCATCTACAAACCACTCATCATCCAATGAAACATCCCAAAGCAAAGGATCTTCATCATCCATTAATCATTTTTCTTCAAATTCATATCTCTGATTCTCCTATTATACATAATGTACACCAGCGAATTCATCCTCAATGTCGACAAGCAATTTCTCATCTTTGTATGTACTTGGTTATAGATACTCCAATTTCTTTCACAGCCAGATGAAGTGCAAGTCAAGCCCAAAACTTTCACAGCAAAATACTGCAATTCTGGAGTTCCAACGCCAAATTGAATCCACCACTCAACTAATATTTATATAAGAGAGATTAATTAGTGTGAAAAAAATAACTTTTAAATAAATGTTTAAAACATTAATTAAAATTACCTGAAGATCGTTTGGCAATTGTATCATTTGCTTGTTGTAATCCAAAAAAGCCTTCATTGTTCCGAAAAGATATCAATTGTATGTCAGCATTTGATCTTTCAGTTGCAGTACTTATTAGCCGATCCATGCAATCATACAATCCCTTGAAAAATCACCTACATCTTCTTCTTTTACACTTTGAGTCTTTGAGGTAGGTTCCTTGTATCAATTGGATTGTCTTTAGAAATCATTTAAAAGGCTAATAAATCATTGACTCAGGAGACATATCACATGACACACTCCACAACCCACTTCATCAATTATACTCCTTGCCCAAGTGATAAGAAAATCATCACTGCTAATGATTCTTTTACTACAGTAGCAGGCCAATGAGATATGCTCTTATCTCCCTCTCTCTCTCTCAAAAATACGCTCCACGTACCTCAATTATCCACAAACCTAATCTCCATACAAAATCTTACCAGTGATTATAATTGTCAAGTCCTATTTAACCATATTTATTGCTTATTTCAAGAATGGGATCTGGAAAAAGAATGAACTTGCTAAGGAGAGAGGTGGACAATATTTGATGAGGACATCGATCCAAGGTTCAAACAGGTGTATTGCCGGAAGAACTTTCTAAGGAGAGAGGTGGACAATATTACCTAGAAGAACTAAAAAAATCTAAGAGCATCAATAATGAATAATCTATGTTATCCCTATTTGATAAAAAATCAACTATTTGGCTTCATCATTTCAAATTAGGACATTCAATTTTTAATGTCTTAAAACAAATGTATCCCAAAATTTTTTTTTAAGTTCAAAAAATAAATATTTTCATTGTGAAATTTATGAGCTAGTAAAATATAAACGAATTTTTTTACCAATCAAAAATGAGAGATGTAATACCTCATTCTATCTTATTCATAATGATATTTGGGGACCCTAAAAATCCCTAACTTCTCTGGGGCTCGATTATTTGTATCCTTCATTGATGACTGCACTCGATTCTCTTGAATCTTTCTCCTCGAAAACAAATATGATGTTAGCACTATACTTCCCATTTTTCACACCATGATCCAGAACCAATTCGAGGAATTAAAAAATTTTGTTTCAACAATATTAAAATTACTTTAACCAAACTATACTCCTACTTTCAAAAAGAATGTATCATTCATGAAACTTTCTACATTCACACCCCATAATAAAATAGGGTTGCAAAAAGAAAAAAAATTGTCACCTTCTAACCTCAACTCATGCATTCCTATTCCATCGTGTACCCAAATCCTATTGGGGGAAACTTTCTGACTATCACACATCTCATAAACTGACTATCTTCAAAACCTTGGGACTAAAAACACCAATGTAAATTCTATCATTCTTTTACCATGACTTTCAAACCAATAATAACCTTACACACAGAATCTTTGGGTGCCCTGTCTATGTTCACAAACACAGCTAAAATAGAGAAAAATTAGATCCAAGAGCACTCAAATGTATCTTTGTTGGATATTCATCCACCCAAAAAGATTATAAACGTTATAATCCCTCCACCAAGAAAATCCTTGTATTTGTTAATGAACAAAAAATTTATTTTACCAAACATCATCTTCGGAACGGGACTAAAATTGAGAAAGATGAGAAAACTGAGCTTGCCCTCTTGACCTTCTAGCTCCACCTCAAACCAATGCACCTACAACTGAAATCAAAGCCAGGGAAACTGAGGACAAAGTTATTATTGATAAAAGGAAGTTTGAGAAAGTATATTTCAGACGTACAAATCCAAACTATGCTCCAAAGCAGATCTAAGAATCTGAACCATCTCCTGAACTTGAGGTAAACACCAGTTCAAAAAAAAAAACATCCCTTGTAACCCATAACCAACTTTGTATCCTTTCATAACTTCTCACCTTCGCATAAAAATTTCCTGGTTATACTAAATGATACTCATATTCCTAATGATATTTCTAATGTCTTATTTGATAAAAATTAGAAAAGTATCATGAAAGGTGAAATGCAGGCCCTAGAGAAAAATAATACCTGGGAGATCACCAACCTACCGGTAGGGAAAAAACCAGTAAAATGCAAATGGGTGTTCTCTGTGAAATACAAAGCTGGTGGTACATTGGAAAGGTATAAGGCACGACTAGTAGCAAAAAGGTTCACTCAGACATATGACATCGACTAGCAAAAATTTTTGCATATGTGGCCGAGATGAACTATTAGGATCCTACTCTCACTAGCAGCTAATTATAATTGGCATCTAGAATAGTGAATGTCAAAAATGTATTCCTATACGGGGACTTGGAGGACAAAATATTTATGGAGATTCCACCAGGATTCAAGGAAGAATATGAGAGTGATAAGGTATGTTAGTTAAAAAAGGTTCTATATGGGCTAAATCAATCACTTAGAGCTTGGTTTGGAAGATTCTCAAATGTTATGCTTCTTAATGATTATCAACAGAGCCAAGGAGACCATATATTATTCTTCAAGCACTCAAACTCTAAAGGAAATCACAATATTATTAGTTTATATAGATGATATTATCTTGACTGAAAATGATGAAAAGAAGAAAGTGATTCTAAAAAAATGTCTTACTAAGAAATTTGATATAAAAAAACTTGATAGATTAAAACATTTCCTTGGTATTGAAGTGGTCCGCTCCAACAGAGGAATTTTTATTTCACAGCAAAAATACATCAATGATCTTGTTAAAGAAACTGGTAAACTAGCTTATAAACCAAATCTCAAATTGGAGGAAGCAAAACAAGATCTAGATGTTGATAAGGGACCTTATCAAAGACTTGTAGGGAAATTGATCTACCTTTCTCACACTAATTGCATTTGTTATAAGTATGGTCAACCAATTCATTCAAAATCCAAAATAAACTCATATGCAAGCTGTAGACATAATACGACATTACCTTAAGGAGAACCCAAGGAAAGGGATTCTCTTCAGAAGAGAATGCGGAGTAACCCCAGAAGCATATATTGATGCAGATTACACAGGATCGCCAGTAGATAGACGATCTACCTCTAAATATTGCACATTCATTGAAGGAAACCTAATTACATGGAGAAGCAAGAAACAGAATGTGGTAGTAAAATCTAGTGCAGAAGCAGAATACAAAGCTATAGTCTTTAAGGATATGTGAACTATTATGGATCAAGATGATTCTAGAAGACCTAGGGATCAAGTGCGAAGGGCCCATGAAGCTACAATGTGATAACAAACCAGCAATCAACATAGCTTACAATCCAATTCAACATGACAGGACCAAGCATGATGTAGTGGACAGACATTTTATAAAAAAAAAAATAGACAATGATCTTATATGTATCTATCATGTCCCATCAAAAGATCAGCTTGCATATATCCTTACCAAGGGACTGGATAACTATACCTTTATGGGACTAACTATCAAGCTGGGAATGACATATCTATATTCGCCCTCAAGATATTCCCCAGCTTGAGGGAGAGTGTTAAATCCCAGATGACCCTTAGCAAATTGATCCCACAGCTAGGATGGGGATCCGTGGGGGGCTCACCTGGATAACGCCAATCCCTTTCCATGGTAGGTGGCTGATTTAGGAAGGATTACATTAGGAAAATAATGCTTGTAATTTATTTATTTCTTTATTATATATTCTGTATAGATCTATAAATAGGGGTAGATTTGTGTAATAAAGCTAAATCTTTTCTTCTCTAAACCTCATACTTTAACAGAGTTATAAATGTATTTATGCTTAAATTGTTGGCTTTAATAAAGCATTTAAAGATTTTTCTAAGTTTATATAGATATTGCAGTATTAATTAGGAAGAGCATCTCATTGTATTTTTTAGTAAGAAATTAATGAAGCTAAACAAAAATATTCGAACTATGATAAGATGTTTAATATTGTTGTACAATCATTGCTAGAGGGATGACTTGTTGCAATGATTTAAAAAGACGATTAAGGCTTGCCTCATCATGAGGCACCTAGCATCGCATCAAGGTTTAAATTTTTTTGGTCGTAAATAAGGCCCACAATTTATTTCATTTGAAGCATATGAGGCAAACATCTTAAACAATAAGTATTTAAATAGTAATTGCATATAAAAGAGTTTAAGCTTATAGGTTCAGAGCGATTTAGTTTGAGACAAAAAGCAATGAACAAAGATCGAGCGTTGAGCTTCGAGAGAGCACTGATAGAGCAATAGACAAATATTGAGCATTCAGGCCAACTGCATAAAGGGCCAATGAACAAAGATAGTTTGCTATGAGTGCGGGTGAAGTCCAGTAACTGCGAAGTTGAATTGACAGTAGATCAACTAAAGAACTCAGCCAGAGGAAAGGACTGAACCTTTGTTTAATTTCTTTTACATGAATTTTGTTCTATTTTAATTGAATTCTTGTTTAGTTTTTATCCTCATTTCCTTTTTTAAATCATTTTTTCTTTTAACTTTCTTTCTTAATTTTCTTTTGAATATATTTTTTTCGGTCGGTCTTAATTCATTTTTTTGGTTCTCTACCACCTGCACTTTTTTTTTTCATTTCTTTTTAAGAGATTATTATCTGATTCATTTTAATTAGTTTTTTTTTTTCTTTTAATCACATTTATTCATTTTTTCAATTTTTTATTTTTTTTTTATTTTTTATTTTTTTTTTTAGTTGATGCTACTAGAAGAAAGGATCCAACTTGAAAATATGATGCTCAAGTTAAATACAAAGAGAAGGTGCAAAAAAGGATATGTCTATTTAAAATGTAAATTTTTGTTAGGAGAATTCTTGATGGCGTCAAAAGATTGAATGATCGCTTAGCATGCACACACCTTAATATTGGAGCATCTGAAAGGTTTTAGATGATGTTGAAAAGGTGATATGTAGAATATTTGAAAAGCTATTCCACCTAAAAAAATAACTCAAAGAAATCTGGAGTGAATAATTGAGAAAAATTCTTAATTTGGTTCTCAAAAAGATGTTAGTTATATTTTTCAAGAAGAAAACCCAACAACTTCCTCTTATAACGAAATGTGTGCCGCTTGTAAAATTAGCAAAGAAGTTGCCACGTATTTTTTGTCAACATTTGAGAATAAGGCAAATACTTATGGGAACATATCGTTGGCAAAATAGAAGAGAGTAATATACTGTCGACTCCCCTTAACAAGCAAGAAAGTATTCTAAACCAAATTAACATGAATTAAATTTCAGATAATTAGTGTTATGCTGCCAAAACTTTCATGCTAGTGGCAAAGAAAGCTCCCATTGCTGATAGCATAAATGATTGTATTTAAGATGTGGTGGTTTTAAACGCAACAGACACCGACATCAATTTGTTGATGTTGACCTTAGTAGAGTTGACTTCTAGGTAGTTGTCAGCTTCGCATAGAACCCAAGAACTTGAGAAAGTCACTAGTTCTATGAATAATATCTCCAATCATCCAATTGCAGCCTTGTAGGCATGTCGACCTTTGTGAGCAATCAACTTAAAATGCAGCAACAACCTAGCAACAATTGATGTCAGCGAACATTCCCCAAGCTCAATTTTTCATCACAACAATATTAATTAACAAGAGAGCCATAAAATGACTGCTAATCGAGACGACATCGCGTGGACCATTGAGATGGTGCCAAAGGCCATGAAAAGAGAGATAGAGGATCAATCTCTAGCCTAAGTCTTTCCCCTTGCTGATTTGGTTGTTTGGGATTCTTCCCCTCTTCCTTTTGGTTGTTCGGTTCTTCTCCCTTGCTTATTTGGCTGCTTGGGATTCTTCCCCTCTTCCTTTTGGTTGTTCGGTTCTTACCCCTTTGCTGATTTGGTTGCTTGGGATTCCCACCCCCCTCTCTCTCTCTCTCTCTCTTTGGCTGTTCGGTTTTCCCCTTTTGTTGATTCTTATGATTGATGCTTCATCTTCTCCTTTGAGAGCTGATTTGATTTGTTTTTATTGGCTGAAATATGGGTCCCTTTCCCCCTCCTCCTATATAAAGTGGCTGAAATTCTCTTGTTGATGACAGTTTTTTGGAGAAGAAAAATTCAACCTGAGGGTTCTTCGTGGCTTGCGAGCTAGTCTTTCCCCTATCCCTTAATATTTCCTCTCGGTCTTCTTTCTACTTCTTCTCTCCGCGATTTCCCTTCCACCTGTATCTTTCTTCTCTAAACATTGTGAGTTGTGAGGTGGTGTTGTTACCCTATTCTGTTGGTATTTGCCTGAGAAGTGCAGACTTGTGTCGAATCAAAATTTTAGTGGTGGATTACTGGTTAGATCTTTCCTTTGAGCACCTTTCCCTAATTTTGTGAATTGCATGTGAGGTGACTGGTCGTAGTTGTTCTGAGGGTTGTTGTGTTTTATATCTTTCTTTCCAATGTGATTTTTCTAAACAGTTTTTAATGTTTGTTTCTACCAAGTCTCTCTCAATTTATGTTTGTTTATGTGTTATTGAAAGGAAGTTTCTTAATTGTGTGTCTAAGTGTTCTCCTAAAAGATTTAGGAACTTAAGTTGCATCAATTAGGCTTAACCAAACTTGTAGAGGGTAAGCCAACGGGTCTAATCAGCCTAGCAAGAAGAGTCTAGTTGTCATTCTCTTGGGAAATTCTAATGGTAGAGGACTCCTTAACAACAAGCATAATGAGTTGTTAATACTTTAGAGAGTGAAGTATCAACGGATCCAATTCGCAAGAACCGACATCTTGACCTTTATCAGCAAGAATCAAGGTTGCTTCCATCAACTTTAGAGCTATCAAATGGAGTTGATAATACATGAGCTTGATGGTTATAAACCAAGTGGTTTTATTATCTTCAAAACTTGATGCATGGCGATCACATATCCACCCTTGATTATGTGCAAAAAATGAGCAAGCCTTTCATTGGGAGAATGATTGTCTTGATCACCAATATTGTTTGCCGACTTCAAGTCATTTAGTTACCCCTTATCTCACAATAAGGATTATCTCAGCCGACTCTATTACAAAGAAGGACTATCTAAGCCGTCTATTTTACCCGCCAAGTTCAAGTTATTCAACCCCCCCCCCCCCCCCCCCCCCCCCACCCAATCTTTTCCACCCTCCCCACCTCCCCCCCCCCCCCTCCTCAAGAGAAGATTTATCTCGAGCTCTCAATCATCCACCAACTCCTACTCGTACAATCCCTCATTTTGTCAAGAAAAGAATTATCCCTGCTGGCTTAGTCATTCACAAAATTTAGGTTATTCAAAACCTCCTTTCAATGGAGGGATAGTCATGACTGCCTAATTACCAACACTGGGTCATTCAACCCCACTTTCTTCCAGGAAAGGAACTATTCATATTACCTTCATCTCTATCCACAACAACAATACCAAATTTGACTCAATGTCATTTCCAAAGGAGAACAAATCCAACTATCTTCAATGACCTCTATGATCGGCTTTTGTTGTGATGTAGCCATCTTTATAGCATGCCATTTCCATACCTACGAGAAGGACCATTCTAGTCTTCCATAGTGACCCACCTAACCTTTCAGTGTCGTGTAACCCATCGTCATCAATTCATACTATCTTCTCCTAGAAAAGAGGATTGTCTTGGAACCTAATCTCCATACATCACCAATGCTAGGGATTTTAGCAATATATTAACTTTAATTGCATTATATTTACACCTTCAATTTTGGGGTAGGTTGACCCATTGTCTACTACTAGTAGAAGTTATTTCAATTTTGTAAGGCCCCGTAGTTTTTCTTCTCGGAATTTCCATACAAAAATCATGTATCCCAAATTCCCATACCATCTATATTTATTACTCTGATTGTGTGTATCAACAATGGTTCATAACTAATACAATTAAAATCTATTTCTAACAACTTATTCTGACAAGCAACAAGGTTTATGACACTGATGATGACAATGATGAAGAACTATAAACAAAGAGATGGCATGTGGTACAAATAATGATAGTTCTTAAAAAAAATGAGAACCACCTTGCAATCCGTGTGTAAAACAACTGCTTAGAAAGCTCTTGACATTTCTCGACAGTGCGTGGCTCCACAACATACTGCTTGTTCTGCTGCAGCAACTGCTTATAGTAACAATTTCCATGCTTGGCCACAAATTGAGAGGCTTGCACGGCCTTGGCCTGAAGCTGCCGCAACTTCGACGCCATCTACTCACAAATATAAATTCGCAACATTAAACAATTAAAACCTCATTTCCAATCCACCGATACAACAATTACACATACAGTAGAATAGCAATAAGACGCACAACTTACTCATTACACTATCTCAACAATCAATGCTCTAGCGCTAGATCCACCAAAAACAAAGAGCATCTCATCGTCAATTATAGAAAATCTACGAAAGCAGAATATAATAATACTATAACAGAAAAACTGATCGACACTTTGTCTTCACAAAACCCTAGATTCCAACAGATGCAGAAGAAGAACGCTATAATGTAGCGATTGGAGCGAAACAGGGCGTCATTCGGATTCACAAAGGGCGACGGAGATTACCTCTTTCCAATTGGCGCGGAGAGAAAAGAATGGAAGAAGTGATCGGATTCCGGAGCGAGAGAAGTGCGCACTTGGCAAAGGGGACGCGGCAAATGGCTGGAATATTTTATTTTTAATTATCATTTCATTAATAGTCAATATTGTCTTATTTTTTATTCTGATTTTGAATTAATTTAAGTGAAATATATTAATAATTGGGTTTTATTTTTAACTATTTTAATGTATATTTAAATTATACCGACTACGGTCTCTTGCCGACTACGGTCTCCGGCAGACTATGGTCTCCGGCCGACTACGGTCTCCTGCCGACTACAGTTCTTCAGGCCTTTGTCGCCTACTATGGTCCTTCCGACCTCCATCAACAGGCAACGGTCTTTCTGACTCCGGTCTCCTGCCGACTACGGTCCTTCAGGCCAAACAAACCTGTATATGTAACTCCTACCATGTAATGCAATCTATATGATGTACATTTGCTACATCAATCCAAGGCCTTCTCCTAAGGAAGGGCCTCATTTGTAATCGACTACAAATACTAGTGGATTCATTCAAACCGGGCCAGGCCCCGTGGTTTTTCCCTCTTTTTCAGGGGTTTTCCACGTAAAAACTTTGGTGTCTCTTATGAACGCTACACCCTCTCACTTATCTGATTGTGTGCTGGATCTTCGTACAACGCTAAGACGTTAAACTATATATTTCTCTACCGCCGCGAATATTCCAGGACGCAACAATAATAGCATATGCTTTATATTTAAATTAATTATTTGTGATAAAAATAAAAATTCTATTGATTTATAAGATCATCACTAATAGCTATTTTTGAGGAAATTTTTTTATGAATTTTTAGGGTTGCTTTGGCTATTGTTTTTCTTTTCTCCCTATATATGAGATAAAATAGGAAGTAAAATATTTCAAAATATATATCAAGATCATGAGATCTATCACTAAATCAATTTGAATGATTTTCTTATAGGAAGATTTGAGTCTTAAAAAATTAAGAAAACTCTTAAGGTTGAGGGAACTCCTACATGAAGTTTTTATTTTCTTCATAAGGAAACCTCTGAAGATAATAATTGTTCGAGGTGCCATTTACTTATTTGTTGTCAAGGATCAACACTTGAAGGGACCTCTTAATGGCGGATCTCTACTACATCCTAGAGTTTTTTTTTTTTTTTTTTACTGCATCCTAGAGTTTGCACCCTAATATGAACCATATGAGAGTTCTCTTTTTCGAATTTTATGAAACTAAAAACTCCATATGATAGAAAATTGGACTTGATTCCCATAAAACTTGCCTTGATGTTTGATGCACAAGACTCTTCTTTCATTAAAGTTTTAGATTTTGAGTATGATAGGATCTCTTAACAATTTATCGCTAGGGTTACATTCCATAGTTGGTGCCCCGATGCTCACCATGCAAGACTAGTTTATTAGATATGCATTTGTTGAAGGATATTCTTCTATAAATTTTGTTGATTTCCCCTTTGTACTAAACTTTGAAGGGGATTTGGATCTTGCAATATTTCTCCTACATTCTTTCCTTTTATTTAACTTAGAAAGCCATAAAGTTATGAATATAATGAATCTTATTTTTTTCTTTGACGGCTTCTTTTAAGGAGGTTGATGGTTAGACTCATCCTAGAAACCGTTAAAAGATAGATGCTTCAGAAAACATATGCATCCCTCAAGAGAACCAATGTAGATGACTATCATATACATTTTATTATATTTTAAGCATTTAATAATAACTTGATTTATTTTAAAAAATAAATATAAAAAGCTACTAAAAAATAAAAAATTAAATATATTAAAAAAAGATGATATCAAATATCCCATTAATTAATATAATTTTTATTTGCTATATAAAAATTAAACAAAGTTATTAGATGAACATAACTCTCATGTTTTTATGTGTTTGTTGGGTTTTATATTTTTTTATAGATAACACACAAATTTTGAGCTACACATTAATAATAGATCAAAAGATATTAGCTCTCCACTACAAAATTTTCTAAATAATTCTAATGAAGGCCTATACAAAATCTGGCTACTGGCCTAGCGTAATCTGATAAAAATCAGATCTTTGTATCCCCTTTAAACGATAAACCCCTACCTCATAGTTACAGATCAAATATCCTCCACTCGTCGAATTCTCCCCAATCCTCTCCCATTTCCCCCTTATTCTAACCCTTCGCCTTTTCCTCTCCTCCTCCGCCCCTACCTACGCCTCCAAGCTCTCATAAGCAGCAGAGCAAATGGCTTCTGCTTCAGTAACAGCCGTTGTTTCCCTCCCTTCGACCAAATCCTCCTCCCTTATTCCCTCCACTCGAGCTGCAATCAGTCCGTGCGAAAGAATCCACTTTTACAAGACAAGACCACAACTTTCATCTTCTCAAAGCAGTGGAAGGCTGGTGGCTATAAGAGCCCAAGTCACCACCGAAGCTCCGGCGAAGGTCGAGAAGGTCTCGAAGAAAGATGAGGAGGGAGTCATCACCAACAAGTTCAAGCCCAAGACACCCTACACTGGCCGATGTCTCCTCAACACCAGGATCACCGGAGATGATGCTCCTGGAGAAACCTGGCACATGGTTTTCAGTACCGAAGGTGCCCCTTTTCTCTTTCTGCGTCTTTCTCACTGTAAAAGCTACTTAGTCCCGGAGTTCCTGCTGAAATTCAAGCAGTTTCACATAAAAATGTCTCTTTTAGTCTTTACTGTATTTAAGATATCTTAAAATTTACCTAGTTAAAGAATCTTACATAAAATCTAGAATCATACACTATCTGATATTTTGTTTATACTGTTTTCACTTGACAGGCATTACTGTTTTGCTCTCTTATTAGGGAAAAATTATTTGTTTGTTTGTTGCAGGTGTTTGTAATACATTAAGCTGGATTCATATATTTGTTTGTTTGAGAGTAGATGAAAACCAGTTCTACTTTTTGGAACTTGCCTGAGCGTATCATTTAAAATATATAGAACTTAAAACTTTAATGAAATTCACGTCCAAAACTCAGCTTCAACAGAGCCCATAGTGAAGCATCCCAATAAGATCAACGTTCTAAAACCGCTCCAGCATCAACACACTAAAGTTTTGAATTCCTTGTGGAACTGAAATCTTTACTAAAAAAAAGCCTGAATGTTTAAGAGTTTAACTCAATACATTGAAGATATCATACAGACTTTTTCTTAGTTTTAATTTGATTTCTTTGTTCTTGCAGGTGAGATTCCTTATAGAGAGGGGCAGTCAGTTGGTGTGATCGCAGAAGGAGTTGATAAGAATGGGAAGCCTCATAAACTGAGGCTGTATTCTATTGCTAGTAGTGCTATTGGTGATTTTGGTGATTCCAAAACAGTAAGATTCTGGACTTTGGTTCTTTTTTGCAGTTGAAGTAATTTAGTTTGTTAGATGGCTTTGGTGGATGAAGTGGATCAACGTTACAGGTTTCTTTGTGTGTGAAGAGGTTAGTTTACACCAACGATCAAGGGGAGATAGTTAAAGGAGTGTGCTCTAATTTCTTGTGTGAGATTTTTGACTTTTTGATTGGAAATTTGGATCCTGCTCCAGTAGAAAGTTAGCTAATTTCTTGCTTCCATGATGCTTTGCTATGATTCAGGTGACTTGAAGCCTGGGGATGAAGTTAAGCTCACTGGTCCAGTTGGTAAAGAGATGCTGATGCCTAAGGATCCCAATGCAACTGTTATAATGGTGATTAAGAGTTTCAGACATTATTATTCTAAGCAATTTCGTATAGGGATTCTGATCAAATTTGATTTTCATTATTGCAGCTTGGAACAGGAACCGGAATCGCTCCTTTCCGTGGTTTCTTGTGGAAAATGTTCTTTGAGAAGCATGAAAATTACAAGGTATGCTGATTCCTTTGAAGTTCCAACTGTGAAAAGCAGCTTATCCAAAGGTAGCCGTTAGTTTTATCAGCCATTAGCAGGAAGTGTAGACCAAGGAGTTAACAAATGGCAATTTCATATGCAAATATTCAAATTCATTTTCAACCTAAGAGCTTATGGTTACAGGAGAGAGTCAACCACAATTATTTCTACACCAACACATTTTCAACTATTCAATGTCAGACTAAACTCAATACACTTGCATTTCTTATTACCATATTGAAATCAATATAGAAGTAAACACCAAAATAACTAATATTTGTCTAATTTATAAACATAACAGCATAAAGGGTGAGGTTCAACTACATATTTCTTCAATTATTTAATGTAGAACTAAACTCAATCATCTAATGTGTCTTAGAAGTAGCAATGATATTGGTTACTGGAGCACCACTGCCATGAGTGTACGAGGGCATGCCAAAATAGTTATTTTTGTTGGACTAATGAATACATTATCATAAAGGGTTATTATAAATCTTAAAGTCCTATTGTAAGATTAAGTTCTCTAACTCTTGCAAGAACTCGCAACATGTAAAAATAAGTTCTCTAACTCTTGCAAGAACTCGCATTATAAATTATGTAAAAGAAATCGAAACGAAAATATGAATTTACATAAATCTTAAATCCACAAGATCTTAAACAAGATGATTTTCACAATATTTTAATCGGAATAAAACATATATTGATTCATATTGAATTCGTTGAATTCCAAATACGGTTTCTCACTCTTTTCTCTTTTCTCTTTCTTCTTTATGAGTTAATTCTCTATGGAACAAACTAACCCCCATAATGAAAGAGAGAGGACCGGTAGTTATTTCATATGGATTAGTTATAAAAACTGCTTATATGAGTTATTTGATCAAACAATCCATAAACGATTGATTAAATTATCTATTCTTGACCAATCTGATTTAAATTTAAATAATTATAAATAAAATTTCAATAATTAAAATATATGGGTCAATTAATGGCTTATTTAATTAAATATATATACTTAAATAATTATTTCGATGTATCGCATAATTATTATATTTAGTTATTCTAACAATTTCTAGCTATAAAGTTATTTCTTTAGCAACTGTTTTAAACTCTCTTATCTATTATCAACTCAACTACTAGATTGGTCTTATGTTCTCTAAAGTTTCAGAAGCTCTAAACTCTATATGTTAAGCAACTCTTTATTAACTCCATATGTTTAGCAACTCTTCTAAAACTCTTTATGAAGTTATTACTAATGCTCTATTAATGTGTCACAACTTGCTTAAAGTAATGTGGAACTCATGAACTTGAAACGCAGTTCAATGGCTTGGCATGGCTATTCTTGGGAGTTCCTACTAGCAGCTCTTTGCTCTACAAAGAGGTTATCTCTACTGCCATTTCTTTTGTCTTCTTCTTTATCAAAATTGACCATTTTTCTGCTTGAAGACACATTGTTAGTTTCTCTATCTTATTATGAACAGGAGTTTGAGAAGATGAAAGAAAAGGCTCCTGATAATTTCAGACTTGACTTCGCTGTGAGCAGAGAGCAAACTAATGACAAGGGAGAAAAGATGTACATCCAAACTCGCATGGCTGAATATGCAGAGGAACTGTGGAACCTTCTCAAGAATGATAACACCTTTGTTTATATGTGTGGATTGAAAGGCATGGAGAAGGGTATTGATGATATCATGACAGATTTGGCTGCTAAAGAAGGTGAGGATAACATAGAATAATGCTACACTCCCAAATAAATTTACTTGTAAATAAGTGCTCGCTCAGGAGTAAGGTAATTCATTTGAATATAAGATATCTCATGAAATATCTTATTTTCGGGTTAAATATATTAATTTTTTTTATTATATATCGATTTTTTTTATGAAACTACTGTTATTGGCTATGCATAACGCAAGGAGTTTGACACTGAGGCGTTGTTTGGAAAAACTTTCTTATTGTTTCTTAAAGCGACTTTCTAAATTTTTATACTAGAAAGCTACTTTAAGAAGCAGTAAAAAAATCGTCCCAAACGAAGCCTAATATATGAGATTTTGGTCATTAATTTACCGATTCAAAATGGTGCCACATCAACTTTCATTTATAAAAGTAATGTGGCACTAGGCTTTATTTGGGATTGCTTTCTTGCTGCTTATATTAAAAAGTTGATTTAAGAAGCAGTAAGAAAGCCGTCTCAAACGAAGCCTAAGTTACACATCCTTTTACAGGAGCTTATTCCATGTTGTGAAAACATAATATGGTTTACTATACTTGATTATTTACAGTGTTAGCTGATATGAAGCTTCAACTGTAGGTATTGATTGGACTGAATTCAAAAGACAGCTAAAGAGGAGCGAGCAGTGGAATGTTGAGGTGTATTAATTGCTTGCTTCTTGTCCTCTTCAAATGGAAGTTTGCGTATGTAGATAGGTAACCTATTCTGTGTATTTTGGTATCAAATTGATTTGTTGCAAGGCAGTTTATACTATTGTTATCCTTTAAGTTTTATAGCAATTGAGATGAAATAATGTAACGTGGCCATGATCAGTACCTTGCAACTCTGAACTAAATTTCAGCACCCCATTTTTCTGCAAATAGTAATGTTCAACTTTTAGTTTTGGGGTGAAGGATGCAAAGAGGTGATTTCTTTTCTAGCGAAGTTTGTGATGCAAACATAAAATAAAAGAGAACTTTTTTTTTTTGGGCATAATGAATGCTTCTGAGTTTGGGAAAATTATTACGTCTGGTGTCTGGATTCGTCCAGACACCAATACAGACGCGCCACATCATGCGGATACACCGGGTCCAGTGTATCAGGGTGACTTGGCGCGTTTGGATTGATGTCCGGATGGTCCGGTGACCGGACGTAATAATTCGCCTTGAGCTATGATGTATGGAAGTTTATCTTTGGCTTGGTTCAATTTGGGTTTAAGAAAAAAAATGATTGAGCTATAAGGTAGGGCTTATATATATATATTTAAGATTTGAGCAAATTTAATTGTAAATTCATGCACGCATCGTGATGATGCTCAAAATCTCGTCTCCCATAGGAGATTTGAAGCTTTTTGACACAGAGCGGTGAGCAGGCTTTGTTTGGGATGATTTTCTTACTATTTAGCTTTATAGTATAAAAATTTAATTTTTGTACTAGAAAGCTGTTTTAAGAAGCAGTAAGAAAGCCATCCCAAACGAGGCCTAATGTTTCGTTTGGGACAATTTCTTTTTCAACTTTTTAAAGCAGCTTTTTGGCACAAAAATTTTTTTAATTAAAAATTTTTGTAATAGAAAGTTGCTTTAGAAAGTAGAAAAAAAAATATCTCTAAGATGAAATTGTGATTCTTCCTTAGGGTTTCATGCATATGTGTTTGAGGTGAAACTCATGTTAGAGGGTAATTTTGTTTGCTTGCAGGTGCTTTATTACTTCACAATAAATTTTACCTAAATCAGTTGGGGGAATATTTTTCTATCTCAGAAAATATAATAATTCATTTTACTTCATAATTTAATTCTGAGTGTTTGATTTCAATAAAATTATGGTATACTTGAAATTATGGAAAAAATTGCGCAATCATCATTGTGATGCCTATAACCTCTCCCAAGAAATTAAAAAAAAAAATCTCAACTTTATTAGAAATTGCAAATATTAACAATAAGAAAAAATTTAAGAAAAAATATATATTAATCAAGTCATTTTTTAATCGAAAATGAGTTCGCGGCCAATCTAAACCCAACAAATTTAATAAACTAATTGGAAAATCCAACTCGAATATGCCCATTGATTAAATGGGAATTTTCAGGTCAGGCTTGAGTCGGGTTTTGTGGGTCAGATCAATTATTGATACTCTTATATGCAATTACGATCATCCTAGCCCGCTCGAATTTAGGTGGGCCAATTAGGTTGACCCAAGCTAATTTGATCATGATAGACATTGATCTCCATTGCTCACTCCAACAATCAAGAAAATTTTCCCCACTAAAGACCAAAATAACCTTATCCAAAGTTAGGGATGTCTTGAATTTAGGGATTCGTTTTGGTCATGATGGGCTTTGATCTCCATCGTTTATAAGCATTTACTATAAATGGGAGATTTACATATATACCACTCTATACTATTTTATTTACATATTTAACACCTAAAACTTTAATATTACATATATACCATCCATAATTCATTTTTATATCAAATATGAGTGGTAGAAATGAAATATATGAGTGGTAGGAATGAAATATGAGTGACATATTTGACATTAAAATAGTATAGAGTGGTATGTATGTAATATTAAAGTTTTAAGTGTTAGATATGTAAATATGATGTTATAAAGTGGTATGTATGTAACTTTTCCTAAATATAATTCATTTTAGAGGCCTTAAGACTTCCCCAATCTGAATACTTATTTAATTAATAGTTTATTTTGTTATTCCTTTAATAAATTAGAGCTAAGGAAGACTGTTTTCACCATTTTCAGAGTTGTAATTAGATAAGAAACCATTGGGGGATAAAATTATTAAAATGTTAATGTTATATAAAATTTGAATCAATATAAATATATAAATGATATTTTAAAATTTATTAATGACAATTATTATAAATTAATTTTTAATATAATTAATGCTTGGTAATGCTGTAAATCTGAATATGGAAAGATCAATCATTAACCATTTGGGCATTCTTATTGATAAAATTTGATGCTCATTTCTCAACATTTTTAGAGTGTTCTATATATAATAAAATATTGTCTACTGTAGAAGACTCTAGAGTAATAGAAGGATCTAGAATATTTGTAATAAATAGAGAAGATTTTAGAATTGCTATGTCATAGAAGTCTCTAGATTCAGCCTCCATACCTATAAATATGTGATGCCATGATGTTGTAAACTAAGGTGAAAACTACTTAAGCACACGTTTAATAATAAAATTATTCTTCTATTCTCCATCCAAAATTTCTTGCCTACATATCTACCTTTTTTTCAAAATATTTCCAACATTTGATATCAGAGCCTTGCTCGATCACTTATTAGGCGTTGTAGAAATCTTGTCTAAAATCCATTGGAAAACTCACACTACTCTACCGTTTTGATTCCAATCTTCAGTGAAGAAAATTATGATTTTTGGTCCATCAAAATGAAGGCATGTTCTCACTCCCAAAATTTGTGGAAGATCGTTGACGAAGGATTCAATACTGCTAAAAGATGTCACAATCCAACCCTGCTAGCCCGAATTAATAGGGCGGGAACATACAGTCGTACGAAAAATACATATAACATTCAAATCATAACAATTTCATTTAAACTTCATCTATACAATGAAAGAAATAGCCACTAAACATTCAAACATAAACTTTTCCAACAACTTCAACAAAACATACAACCATTTAAAATATAAACACAATACCACTGTTTTGAAAACCGAACCGGACCGGCCGATTCAACCAATTCAAACGTGAACCGGTCTGGTGGCCGGTCTGATCAAGCTTCAAAACCGGCTCTGCATCGAACCAGATCGAACCGGCAGTTCAACCGATGAACCGTTGAACTGGTCCGGGTCGGAAGGAATCGTCCAGTTTATAAAAATAGTTTCTTTTTTATTTTAATTAAAATTTTTAAAAAAATATTTTAGTTTATTAAATTTTTAAAGTTTATTAAAATATTTTGATTAAATATGATGATTAATTTCACCATAATACATGCAAGTTATCTTAAATACCTTACATAATTTGTTTTGCAAAAAGAGTGTACTTCTCACTTTATATAGGGTTCAAGTAAACATACTCACACTCCAACTATGATATGGGACTAAAAGAGTTGCATGAATAGTTTAAAATGTGCATTTGAGCTTATTTGGGCTTCAATTTTTTGCTTAGTTGGGCTACAAATTTGAATAATATGTATTATAAATTTGCTATAATATATATTATAATAATTATATTATAAAATATTAATATTATAAATTTATATATTATATTAAATATTATTCTTATAAATATATATT